AAGTTTGGAATTGGTAAAAGTCTTTTCCTGACTCTGATGACAGAACTTCTGAAGAAAGGTCAGAAATACATGTTTCTGAAGCTGGTAAAAACTCTGACTCTGAAGAAGATACAAAAGGAGAAGATGATTCTGACTCTGACTTCGATGGTGATCGAGACTCTGAAGACAGTCAAGGTTCTGGAGAAAGTCCAATTTCTGAAGCAAGTGCTTCTGAAAGGGAAAGTTCTGGTGTCCAAAGTTCTGAAGGTCCGGCTCAGAGGCAACACAGAGTCAGAAGCATCCCAAGAAGATTTGCAGAGTTTGACATATTACAAGACACTGAAGTAGACTCTGAAGGAGAAGTTATTCAGTATGCAATGTTAGTATACTCTGAACCCGTGAGTACGGAAGAGGCTCTTAAGCGGAAAGTTTGGTTACAGGCCATGAAAGAAGAACTTGATGCTATAGAGAGAAACAAGACTTGGAAGTTGATAGAACTTCCAAAAGGCAAGAAAGCCATCAGCGTCAATTGGGTTTTCAAGCAGAAGCTAAAGCCAGATGGATCAATTGGAAAACACAAAGCAAGGTTAGTAGCAAGAGGCTTTCTCCAGAAGCTTGGGCTGGATTACTTTGAAGTGTTTGCACCTGTAGCGAGACATGAAATAATCAGACTAGTGATTGCAATAGCTGCTAATAGGAATTGGCCTCTAATGCATTTAGATATAAAATCTGCATTTCTAAATGGTTCATTACAAGAAGAGGTGTACGTTTCACAACCTCCTGGATTTGATAAAAAGAATCGGGAAGGGATGGTGTTCAAATTACACAAAGCATTATATGGATTGAAGCAAGCGCCCAGAGCTTGGAATTTGAAAATTAATTTGTTTTTCAAGGAAAAAGAATTTCAGAAGTGTGAGATGGAGTATGGTGTTTATGTTCAGCATACTTAAAAAGTTAATATGATTTTGGTCTGTTTGTATGTTGATGACATATTACTCACAGAAAGTTCTGAACAAGAGATAGCTGAGTTCAAGAAAGTTCTGATGAATGCATTTGAGATGACAGATCTTGGAAAAATGAGTTTCTTTCTAGGGGTGTAATTTATATACTCTGAGAAAGGAATCATTTTGCATCAGATGAAGTATGAACTAGAGCTTCTGAAGAGATTTGAGCTAGAAAATTGCAAATTTACTATCACATCTGCTGATACAAATCAGAAGTTGGACTTTGATTCTGATGGAGAGGATGTGGATGCTACAACCTTCAAACAGATGGTTGACTCTCTAAGGTATTTGTGTAATAACAGACCTGATATTTGCTATACAGTTGGAATGGTTAGCAGATTTATGAACAAACCAGAGTGGTCTCATTACCAAGTTGCAGTCAGGATTCTGAGGTATATGAAGGGAACTCTGAAATATGGAGTGTTATTTCTGTCTGGAAGAAAGATCGAATCAGAACTTCTGAGTTATTCTGACTCTGATTGGTGCGGAGATAGAGTTGACAGAAAAGTACTTCTGGGTACTTATTCAAATTTCTGGGAGGTCCTATTTCTTGGTGTTCCAAGAAGCAACCTGTTGTTGCTCTGTCAACTTGTGAAGCTGAATATATTGCAGGTTCTCTGACTGCATGTCAAACTGTGTGGATTCTGAACTTGCTGAAAGATCTGAAGATTGAGGTAAATAAACCTCTGAAGTTGATGATTGATAACAAGTCTGCAATCAATCTTGCCAAGAATCCAGTGTTGCATGAGAGAAGCAAGCATATTAAGACCAAGTATCATTTTCTGAGGAATCAAGTTCAGAATGGAATATTAGAGGTTGTGCACTGTAGCACCTAGAAGCAGTTGACAGATGTTCTGACAAAGGCTATCAAAATTGATCAATTTCTTGGTTTAAGAGACGAAATTAGTGTTGTCAGTTTTGGATAAATATAAATTAAGGGATGGTGTTAGAATTAGTTTAAATTTAATTAGATATTAATTTTTATTTAGAAATATCTTTTAGATTGTATATATCTTTGTTAGAAGATATATGTCTTAAGTCTTCTTATATCTTTGTAAAAGATATATTTTAGATTTAATTTTTGTGTATAAATACCCTAATAGAGTATGTTATTGTAACTCATTGTAAATTCTTATTTTAAAACTATCAATAAATATTCTTTTTTATCTTTTATCTTCCTTGTGCACCAACAAACATCACTTTTGATTCTAATACAAAACAGTGTCATAGTGAAATATTTCTATCTTAATTTTTAAGTAACTCTAAACTAACAATTTAGTTTACCTCCACCAGCTTAAACTCTCCACAAATTCACCTTTGAAAATACTAGTAGTCTCTTACTCTTTCCTTAATTTCCACATAGACTACACCCACCGAAGCTTTAAAGTCCTCGGCTCTTTAAAAAAAGTCCTCAACTTTTTATATATGACTAATATATTCACTTATCACATCTTTAAAAGGTCTGATATACACGTTAAAAACTTTTGTAATTAATATTCTTTCATCTTATAAAAATATTTTAGTTAAATTATTATAATTTAAAAAAAGTTGTTAAATTAATTATATAATTTGAAATTTAATAAATAATATGTTTGTACAAAATATATTTGATTTGACTCAAAATTTAATTATTAAGGAATTTCTTCCGTTTAAATGTTTAGTAAAAGAAAGTTTTATTACTTTAAAATTCAAAGAGTATAAAAAAAATGAAGTTAGTTGAAAAATAAATTTCAATTATAAATGCATATAATTTTAGAAACTAATATTTTTAACAAAGATTCATTTAAATAATAATATTTTTCTATAAGAATTGATAAAAGGAGCTTTAAACCAAATAAATGAAAATCTCAAACATCTACAAATATAGTAAAACATAAATTTATTTAAACAACTTTAAAACCATATAACCAGTCAAGTCATAATGCGCAGATTTAGTGCTTTAAATGCAGAGAAAGTAGACAGAAATTATTTCGTCGATCCAGCATTTGTTTCATAAATGAATATATAAATAAAATTTATTTAAAATAAATGTCATTCTTATTTTTTATTATTATTGTATATATTATTTTCGAAAGAAAAAACTTTTTGACGATACCTATATAGATTTAAAGTAAAAGAAGTTATTTGGTTTGATAAATAGTTACAAAGAGCAGGCGAAAATATCATAGTTGGTGGATTTCCTTTCTTCAAGGACCTTTGGTAGAGAATTGGGGATTGAGTTTGTAATCACATATCAATTGCATCATATGCTTTTGTGATTTTCAATGTCCAATCTTGAGTGTTACAGGATCCCTTATTGACAGACCGTGAGATATATGATATAAATCTTGATTTTGATAGAATTTTAAATGTTCTTAGTGTTGCAATTTAGATTGAACTTAATAGTTTTACTAGCAAGGATATTGTCTCTCCTAAATCACAATATATTTTGGCGAATTTTCTTTTTAATAAAAGTGTTCAAGACATGGACGTAAAATTTGATATGACCACAAGACAAAAAATAATTTTTTTGTTGTTTTCAAGTAGCACATGCTCAAGATTTTCTCTTTACTATTTTTATTGATGGGTTGGACCAACACATGTTACCGATAGAGTACCGTACTATCATTAGATACCGACTTATGATTTCTTTATTTCCTATTGATAAGGTTTGTCTTATTTGTTGCAAACATGCTTAAATACATTTGGAGAACATATGATTGGTTGTAAGGAATTTTCAGACTTCAAATATCGACATGATTTTGTAAGGAATATCATATTTGATGTATTTCAATGGGTCATGGTATTTGTGAAGAAATAATCGCTTGTGAATTTATTGACTGACCCACAAGAAGGAAGCTCGACACTTAGGCTAACAAATGTTATGGTGTACAAATGTGTACGAGGAAAACATGCATGTATTGATTAACATATGTTATGGTGTATGAATGAGCACGAGAAAAACATGCATGTATTGACTTAATATATGTTTCTCTACTGGTGAAATTGAGAACTGAAGGTTCTACTGTAGAACACATAACTTTCAAAGGCGTTACAAGTAAAGTGGTCAAACATTAGAAAATGTGTTTCAACAATCAACGTGCTTTCATACCATTTTTCATTGACACTTTTGATTTTATAGCACTAGAGATAATGGATCATTTGTAAAAAGGCCAAAAACTCATAGCAATAATGTATCTCCTAGATTAATTGATGTAGTTTTTAAGAGTATTGACTTTGTCATAAAAAAAGGTAGCAACACCGTTTACTACTTGTTTGACTTCTATTTCTATATAATTTATAATATTTATTAATAAATAATTGAAATATTATAAATTTTAGGATTAGTAGAACTTTTGCTTCCTGACATATAAGTGACTTTTGTTTTTTCCTCATGTAAAAAAATTATAAAAGCATCCTTGTCACTCTAAGATTTTGTTCGTTAAAATTGTTTAGTGAGTAGATTTACCCAAGAATATTATATGGCAATATTGGGTGGCAAAAACTTTTTTTTTTCAATTTTATTTAATGACACATGTAATCACTAATGCCACGTAAGAAATGAAAAACATTTGGAATTATATTTTTGGAACAGAGTCAACATCTTTTTCTCTCTTTAGAACACGATAAGAAGAGTTTCATCATTTAAAACACATCTTCTGCTTCAAACAATCTCATTTGTTCGTTTGTTAATGAGCTGCCCAAGAAACATGAAAGAGGTTGTAATAGGGTTTAGAAATATGAGGTAGATGAAATTCCTCGATTGGTACTTCAAATGGAAGAGAAATACCTTGATGTGGTTGTAATATGTCATGAAGATCTGGGTTTCAAATACGACAAAAATTCTCAAGAGAAAGTTCTGGAGATGCGGGAATTGACAAAAGGGACAAATTTCTGGAAAAAATTAGGTTACAGTGTATTAAACAAATCTCATTCTTCCTCAATCGTTGTAATTTTCATTTTATTGTTATATGCAGGCTGATATACGTTATGATTTATTTATCCTGGATGATGAACTTGATGAAATGAATTGGAAATATGAAAATAAGGCAATTGACAAGTGTAGAGGTTGATTGCAACAAATGTGAAGATATGGTTGGGTATATGAGAGAGTTTGGAAAGGATTTTAGGAAGGAGTTTGGCAAGGAACTTTACAAGAAATTTGGCAAGGAGTATGACAAAGATTCATGCACAAAAAAGCTTGAAAAACTAGGAAGATGCTACAAAATGAAAGGAAAAAATAGTTATTTGTTAACAATTGCCCTAATTATTTTATGGATGTTATTTGTTACTGCATATAATAAGATGTAATTGTCCATTAGGTATAGAACCTGTCAATTTCAGTGTAACTTTGGTATGAGACCATTTGAATGTCAATGTAATTGTAATGTTGGTTGAATGAATGCATGATATTGTTTTTTAAATTAGATATTATTGGTATTCTAGAAATTGTCATAACAAATACAACACATAATCCAATGAAACATAAATCATAATTTTCATATATCATAAAAAGAACATAAACCTTTACAATAAGCACCATAATATGCAATTGTCATAAAAGGTACATAAACTATTACAAAAGCACATAATGTACAACATTCATAATGAAACTTAAGCCATAAAATACCATTGTCAAACATTACAAAGGAGCACACAAGGTGCAACTATAAAAACGAACATAAAGTGCAACTGTCATAAAATGAACATTTCATTATAAAATTCTTCTGGAAATGTCATTCCATGATCTCAATGCCTTGAAACATATCCCAAGCCTAGGGTCTGGTACCACCTCAATGTTGGTTCTTTACCGGTTATTCTTGGCCCTTTAAATGATTTAGTCTTCAGTGTCCTCAGTCCGTCACTTGTTCTCTTGTTTAGAGAAACATCCTTCACATTCTTTTTTGGACTTTTCTTGAGAGGTTTAGTCTTTATAGTTGTTTAACTCTTTGCAATAGGTTGAGTCTCAGTTGCAAATGGTGGACTACCAAATTTAGTGTAAAACATATCATCACCATTTACAGGATCAACATTTGTTGTAATAGGATTAATCTCGTTGCAATATGATTTATCTCAGTTGAAGTAGGATCACCATCTGCAGGTAGAGTCTCGGTTGCAGTATCCATGTTGACTTTATTTGCATAGTGTTTAGGAGTTTTTCTCTACAACATAACATAACAAATCAATTAAGTTATGTATACATAACACAATATATTCCAACAACATAAAAAAATGAAAATTTACCTTTTCTTTTCAAAGCATCTGGATTTTGAGTTGTTTCCTTGCACTTTCTTGAGTTATGGTCGATCTTATCACATTTGATGCATTTATATGTCACACCAATTATCTTCATTCTCGATCCACCTTCACCTAATTCCTAAACTTAAGTTTATTTGGTCTTCCAGGTCCTTACTTGTACAAAGGAGGATGTAATTCATATGCATCAACTTCAAGCCACGTGTATATTCTATTTATTGGACTTATAGCAAAACTACAACAAATGGCATACATTTTCCTAGAGTAACATCCATCAACAAAATCCTCTAGTTTTTGTTGTTTATAGCCTAATGTTACACAAGCATGTCTATATGGAATACCAACCAAATCCCAAAACATACATGTACATGTCCTTTTTCTAAGATCAATAACAAATTCTTGGGTGTTATAGGCATGTTTTACCTTTCCTTCATCACTCACAGACCAACATGGAGTCCATTGACCACTCATATCCACATACTTTAGAGCATAGATCCAAAAATCCACATTTTCCCTTGCATTCTACCTTTACCATCTTACTTTCATTCTTGACAAATGTAAATTTCCCTTTGATTTAATATTGACCACTCTATTATTGTTTACTTAAAATCACTTAAGGAATTGAATGCCATACCCAACTTAAACGGATAATCCTTACCTAACCGTTCATTCCTAAAATTTTCATACTTCAGAAGTTTTTCATTTTCAGCAAAATATGGGTTTAAGCTACCAAATTCATCACTCACTCTTACATTGTTCTTCTCCACCATCCATTATTTTATAATCCTTTATTTTATTAGCTTTAGTTATCCTTGCAGGTGCAACAACTTTCAACTTCTTCATTGAATTTGATTTCTTGATGGATGACTTAGTAACACAAATCTTAAACTTATATAACTTCCCATTAAGTTCAACTTTATTAGTACCAAATTTGGGCCTATAAACTTCAATGACTTAAACCTGGCTTTTCTTGCATCATCATCACTTTTATCTGCTCCATCTTCTTTAACATTCCCTTCAGTTAGATCCATGCATTGAGGCTCAACAACCTTGATGTTGAAGTCCTTCACATTATGCTAAACATATAAATATTCTTCAATATTGTTTCCAACAACACAACATGCAAATTCACTAGCACAGACATCCTTATTAATTTTGAAAAAGGAATTGTTCTAGACTAGCCAAATGACTAGAATTGGCCCAATTCGCTTCCACCCTTAGTACGGTCCAATAATAGTGGCCCAACATTCTGGTCGACCATGCCCCGAGCAGAGGACCAGATATGCCCGACAGTCGCGCCTGACCCAGGAAGCAGTTGTCTCCTGTCAGCCTGATACGAGTTGAGAAGACAACCAGGAAACATTCAGAACAACCATCTGCCCATAATCCGCCTCCTCCTCGGATCCAATGGCTAGTTACGAACACACCTGTCTGTTTTGACCGAGTCTTGGTAGTTACCTATTTTTGTGGACCCGCATATCTAGGCCCAAAAATAGGGACCAGTGGTCAAGCAGCGAGGGCATTATATATACCCTCACACATGTGAGGGCCATGTATTGAATATCCAATATTCATCACTAAAACCCTAACACTTTGTTTGTATCTCTTTTTCTCCCACACTTACTTGATCATCAGAGTGCCTTACAGGTATAACCCCCATTTTCCCTCCTCGAATTTCCATACCATCTGAAGATCATCATCCAGCCACCTTGTAGGTTCTGATTAGCCGGTAAGATTAGTGGAGCCGTCTGTGGGAAACTATCTTCCCCGTTTTCTGTTCCCCAGAATATGAAGACCAAAGATCCTCTTCATTCATCAATCATGGTCGACCATGATGATCACCACCTATCTGGAAAGATTGTGCTCTCCATAGTGCATAAGATCAACGAAAGTTAAGAAGATCCTTACCTCGAGGATAACCTCGGCTTCTGCGATGGAAAAATTGTATCCTCAAACTTAATCAACGCCCAACGCGATGATAATCAGTTATTGGATGAGCGGCATCCCAATAACACTACCAAGGAACTGCCGAAGATTCTGCAACCAGTTCCCATTCCTCATAATGTCGACCCAGCCATTGCAATATTGCTCGCTTCCCTCAACTAGACTAGCGCCCTTATCCTGCAGCAAATTAAGAAGATAGGGGCCTAGGAGAAGAAGCGGTCAAAGTCTCCCCCTCAGAGACACCAATGACATGATTCCCCCATCATATCATCACCTAGACGTGGTCGTCCACCAAGAAGGGAGAAGCGCGATGTTTCTTTCTTCAAGAAATGCAACTGCACACCTCCCAAGAAAGATCAAAGCTCTCCATCTTCCAATAAGAAGAAGAGCGACCACCAAGTTAACCACAGTCAATCACCATCGCCCAAACCAAGACAGCACCGAAGGAGCTCTTCCCCTCGACGAGATAACGATGCCCGACGAGGAAGGAACTATCACTCCCCGCCTTCATCCCCCGAGGAAAGCGATGATGACGAGCCTTGTGGTATGTTATTAAGAGAGATTACATATACCCATCTCTTAGTCGGCCTAGAAAAGCCACCCCCGTTGGGAACGTATGATGGTACGACTAATCCTGATGAACACATAAAGAATATCGACACCCTCCTTGACTACTGAGGGGTCAAGGATGCCATCAATTGCAGATTGTTCCCTACTACCCTAAGGAAAGGAGCCATATCTTGCTACAAAAGCCTCTCATACGAGTTTATTACCTCCTGGAAACAATTGGGAGGATGTTCTCAAGGCACTTCATCGCCTCCCATCGATATCTAAAATCAAAAGCTTCATTAGAAGCGAATATCCAGGGAAGAGATGAGTCTCTGCGAGCATATATTGAGTGCTTCAATAAAGAAACAGTACAGGTCTCCACGACCGAAACCATGAATAAATACCTTCTTGAACGCGGCCTCCGTCCCCGTAGCGACTTTGCAAAAGCAATCGACATCGAATCACCATCCACGCTCGACTCCCTCCTCCTCAAGGCTCAAGCGTACATTCAATACGAGGAGAAAGAATCTGCCAACAATGCTAGGGAGTCAAGCCACCGAGAAAGTGCTAAGTCCTCAAGAAGCGACAAGGGGCATGCTGGTCAGTTTCACGACTACACCCCTCTGACCATTTCGAGGGAATGTATTCTGTATGAATGCGCCAACTCTAAATACAAACAAACTGGGGTTCACTTTTCCCGATAGACGCCTACCAAGCCCGGAACTGACAAGAGTAAATAATGCAGATTCCATAAAAGCCATGGTCACAACACCGACGATTGCATCCATCTCAACGATGCGATCAAGATACTAATTCGAGATGGGCACCTCAAGCAGTACAAGAAGAAAGAGGTTGCCCACGAGGAGGCTCCAGAAACCAAGAGCGTCGAAGAGGGGAAGAAGTCCCCCGACATCAGTACAATACCAGTCTCCATGAGTATCTCGTGACCAGAATATTTCTATTTCCAAGACATGGAGAACGTACCATTGTACTTCTCCTCTCACAATCCTTGAGAGTCGTTCCCTTCTGTGATGGTCATCTTTGGCGGGGGATTTGTTATACCCCAATTTTTGCCCCTAATATTTCTCTATCATCTCATATCAACCCAATCATATCAAGATCACACTAGGGTTTGGTTCTTCTCCCTATCTTTAGGTTTGCTCATGAGGGATCATGAAGAACTTTGATGTGTGTATTATGGTCATATATTTCTTGTGTTTATTTACTTTTAGCTAACAAATATAATGATTTTTTCTCTATAAATGATGGTACTATAGGTGATGGCACAACACACTTCATCAGGTTGATTCATAGGTTCATGAGTTTATTTCCATACCTTCTTCAACAAAGCTTCATTGAGATTTAAGCTTCATCATTGAGAGTGATTTAAAATAATGGCATGACAAGGTCCATTATGATTCATCATGCTTCAATTTGTCAAAGGAAGTCAAAAGATGTAAGAATTAATTAAAGAAGTTTGACCTATTTGGACAAATTCTTGATTCCTTGATCACAAGTGCATAACTCCCTCAATTATTAACATTTGGAAGTGGTTATTGTTA